AGAAAATGTTGGGGGGGACAAAAAAAAAAAATCTATCATTGCTAATGGAGAATAAACCACTTCTGAAGACTCTACTCATTAGTTCTTTGATTTCTATGGATTGAAAACTAAAACAAATTAGCGTAAGAAGTAGTAGTAGGGTTTGATTTTGAATCAAACCTGCTATGCAGTTTGAGGGAAAACCAATTCCTCAGAAGAAACCTGTGAGCAGTAAAATCAATTCAATTTAAAATTAGTTGCACAAACAGCTCCTCAGAAGCCTCTTTTTAGCCGTTAGACATAATATACTGCTCTTAAAAGCCTGTGTTCCACATTTAAGAAATCCTATTGTCTAATATTTGACTACTAATTAGCAGGTTTATTCAGTGGGGTTTTTTTTTTAATAAGTGCACCACAATTTCCTTTTTTTGTAAATCTGTCAATTTACTGAAGAAACATTAATTTTACTGGGGATGGTGTTTTGGGTTTTTTTTTTAAGTTTTCTTTATTAATATTATTTATTTATTTTTACAGAATATCAACTCTCTCTTGAGGTCTGAGTTAATCAAAATCAATACTTCAGCACTGTTACTTTCTTAAATTTGTAATTTATATTGCTAAAAGGCATAATTTATATTACAGAATGCAAAGGACAAAAGATAGAAAGTTTAAGAAAACAACCTTCCAAAACAAGTAACCTTCAACAACTCCCTTCCTCATCCCTCAAAAACCCTCACAGTTTTGTTTAGGCAGTGATCTTATGAAAACCTTACTAAAATTTTCCTAGGCTTGGAGAAGACCATGTTATGTGATGCCAAAGTCAATAGTTAAATGCTTTGCTATGATTTTCTTTATAAAACAATACTCTTGCTTAATTGGATTAAACAGACTTTAACTCAAATAGCCTAAAAGACCAAATTTAACTTGTGAATCCTTCATGACTTTTGTGATCTGGAATTTGTGACAGCACTGGCGATGCACGTTAACACATTGACCCCGGGAAGCCAAAGGTCGACTTGCTTTTGTTTTTCCCTTGGGAGTCCCTGCAGAAAAGGCGAAGGAAATCGCATCCAGAGGCCATGGCTTTGGGTCTCAGGGGATGCACAGTGCTAGCTCAGCTAGGCTGAGCTTTGGAAAGGTTTTCATCTCCACCTTGTTAGCTGGACCAAAATCTTCAATGCACTGGGAAGTTTCCAGGGCTTTGGCTCTTTCACAGCCTTTGCAGTATCAGAGTCCGAGGGGAAAACGGAAATCTGAACTAAAACTACTGAAAGATTACTTGGCCTAAAAAGCAAGACCAAGGGAACAAGAGGAATTTGACTGAGTTCTGGTTTACCTATAAGCTTCTTAAATGCCATTAGAGGATGTATTTGAATAAAATGAAAGACAAATGTTTAAGATCATTATCTACCTTCAAAAAGATTTTTTACTCAAAGGAGCCAACAGCACCCACCAGCACCGATCCCCCGCAGTGACCACATGTGCTCTGGTACTTTCGACCATTTGTGAAACTGCATCGCAAAGAATGGATCATCCAAAGCACAAATGACTTTTTTTTTTTTCTTTGAATAAATAGGGAAAATATTCCAAGTGTATGAATATACTAATTTCAGGTTTATCCTTCCCTGATTTTTTTTTAGGGAAAGAAATACTAGAGCAAACAGCCTCAAATACTCTATTTATGAGGGAACGAGTTCACTTTTTATCATAATACTTCAGTCTGAAGTGAGACACTGTATCCCCATCCTCAATTATTAATTAATTCCGAATACTGGATTGTTACTCTGAAAAATGCTAAAAAAAAAAATCAGAATATTCTGCATAATCTTTTCATCTCAGGTGTAGATGTTGGATATAATAGTATATGTGAACAGAGTTCATACTAACTAATATTATTCATAAAAGCATTCTTTAAAATGTAAAGACTAAATATCACACCACCCAAGGCTAACAGAGATGGAATTCAGATTTTACAATGATGCAGTTCAACGTCAGCATCACAAAAAAAACCCCAAAAAACCCCTTTCACTCAGTCTGTGCTCACAGAAAAGAATTTGCAATGGAGTTGTCAACCTGCTTGCAATTCCCTGACAGAGGGACACACAAGCCATGCTGAAAATTTGCCCCAGGCTGTAACCATCATAATTTCCAGCACAATTCATTCTGAAATTTGTCTGTCTCCTCTTGGCTAGAAAATACACCATCTTAAGAAGTACATGCACTTATGATAGTATAGAAAAGCTCACAATTTCTAATGCTTTTAAAGCAAAAGTAAAATGCTGCTTTACAAATCTTGCATTATGAATCAAACATTTACCATAACAACGAAACATAAATCAAAAATCTGCATCTTTGAAAACCAGTAATAAAGGCCACTTCCCTTTGAAAGCAAAATTGGTTCTTCTTTTACAGCTTAGAGTAATAATATATATTATAGTCTACTAAAGAGCAAGTTAAAAGTTATGATTATGAGTTATGAGGAAGCAAATAATACTTGAGAGATGAGAAAGTCTGAATAAGTTGATGAAAGTATCAAGCAAAACACTGTTGTGCCTGGTCGAGCCACTGGATTATCTAAAGGAATGAATATTTTGTCTTTGAGCAGCAGTCAAGAGATGCTCTCTCCCCAGCAATGGCATCTCCAGCCCCCTGAATGGAGCTGATCACAAATGGGGCGTTTCTGCTCTGCCCCTCCTGGGCAATACAGTTATACCCCAAAGCACTGGCTTAGCTTTATTGTGGTTTTGAACACCCATAGATACAAACATCATTAATGTTCACATTGCCCAGGCCTTTATAAAAATATGATGACAGTCTGTATCTTGATAGTTTCTGGCTACAGTAAATTCTAGAGTGGAACATGACTATATACTTCTTGCACTAAAGTGTTTCATTTTTATTAGCATGCATACAGAAAAGAACAATTAAAATTATTTTCCCTTGCTGCTACATAAGAGGATCCAAACATTTGATTATTAATAGAAATTGTATGTACAAATCCTCCCTTTACTGACAAGGGTATGTCTTCAAGGAGAAATATATTTTCAAAGTAGCTTGTATTTCTTACCTGTATGGTAAAATGTGAGGAAAAACAAAAGCACTCCCATAAACACATTACTCAAAAAGGTGACAACTCCACAGGTAATTCCTTCTGGAACAGGGTAGACTGTCTCCACAAAGAGCTCAAAGAATATTGGTACACTACTGTTGAGGAATATACCCAACAAAATACAGGATGTGTACAGTGTAGCTGTAACAGAAACAAAAACAATTATTAATTTCACGCTGGTATTTTTTCACCCTATTCAGAGCTGCCAAGAATACAAATACTTAAGTAACTGAAAAAAAAAATAATTTACTTTCATCGTTTGTGTATCATAAAGCATAACATATCCCACTAGTTTTAGGCAGAATGCATGCAATGATTTTAAAAAAAGAATTAGAAATACCTATTTGTTTATTTAGTTTTTTAAACAGAACCCATGAAGACACATTCAGTGATTTGGAAATCAGTTGTGAGTAAAACAAATAGAACAAAATTATGAATGCAAAGCATCACCTACAGTTTGATTTACCTCCGAAATAAAGAGAAACTATTGTCCTGTACACAATTAGGACAGGGAGCAATTAATGCACCAAATTGGAAACGGACATGGATTAACCTTGTGACTTAGCTCTAAAGGTCAAAACTAATTTTGCTTCCATTTTACAAATAAATACTAATGATCTACCAGATATCAAGACATTAGTATTCAGCACAGCCTGAGCTGCAACATGTTGAATCCCTTTTGGCTTCAAAAGGAAATGAAGGGCACACACCGCCTGGCAGGAACGGGACAGATTTGATAACGCAGATTATTCACTGCTGTACAACAAATTATTTTTCTTGGACAAATCAGCAGATGAGTACAGACACTTCTTCAGTAGCCTCACTTTATGACACTGACAAATACTTTATAGTGCTTAACTTCTTAATAAGTCTATATTATCTATTAATTAACCTGTTATATCTATTTCTGAAAAAAAGAAAACTTCAAAAGAATTTAATACCTATTTAAAAATTTAAATAAGTCTTTGCTAAGTACTGTCTTGGGAAGGGAACATTTCCTGACCTGCAGTCTCAACAATCTGAAGTTACTGATGAAATAAAAAGTATATGAAAATGGTTAGAAGGCCTTGGGAAAAAAAGAAAAAAGTCTGGAATAATTTCTGAAGTTTCCACCAAAATGACAAGAAAACAAAGAAAAATTTTTCAGATACAAGAATGTTACCAAGTCATAGGGAAATTATTTACAGCATCTTTTCACTGCAGTATGGTACAAAATCCTTAGACAATTTTTTTCATATAGATATATCTGTTTATATGAAATAGAAACTGCATTTTCAGTTTAATTTACATTCTTCTGTCTTGAAAAGGGGAGAACAGAAACAGCTCTGCTTCATCTTCTGTTAACCATTGCTGAAGCTTTCAATTGAAAAACTGTTAGGAAGCAGGAAACTGCCAGCTTAAAAAAAATAAATTTAAAAAAAAAATCACTGTTTCTTAAAATATGAAGAATCATGGAAAAGAGAGAAAGGCATTAAGAAGCATAGAGGACTATCTATCAGATCCTCTGTTTGATGTGGTTTGCTTCCAAGACACAGAGACATATTTCTTCCCTACAGAGTATTTGCTTGGTCAGGAAAAAGAGGACAGAAGTCCCAGCCAGAAAGATGATATAGATGGCATGACTTCAGGAGGGACAGCTGGTCCCCGCTTTTTTTAATATACCAGAATGTTCTGAGTTGTTGGAAGGAAGGAAGGAAGGAAGGAAGGAAGGAAGGAAGGAAGGAAGGAAGAACCATGGCAACTTTTCCAACTCTCAAATTTTCTTATTATAAACTGCAGAATAAAAGTCAAATAAATTGATGCAAGGTATGTTCAAGAGTTGTCAAAGAAGAAGGAAAAAATGCAAACCAGATTAGTATGCTCTTCCTCATGGGTTCTTCCAGCTAAAACTGAATAACTGATTCCCTACTCACAAGATCCATAGATTTTTGCTGCCAGTCCTCCTCATCAGTATTTAAAATTTCATGAACCTCACTTTGAACTCCTGTTTACCTCAAACACCACTGCATATTGCTCTAACTGTCTCTAACTGCTATCAGGTGTAGCCAGCAAATCCAAACACATTCAGCCATTTGAACTTTTGTGTTGGCTTGAGAAACCAACACATAAATGAAATAAAAGAAACTCTTAAAACAAATGAACATCTGCGCCTCGTTACACTCGATGGACGGTATCTACAGATAACTACTTCTAACTTCTTGAGAAAATTTTCAAAACTTTCCCAGCTGTAATTCTGTATCAGAAACTCAAACAGTGGAAACAGTTGTGAAGCTGCTGAAAGCCACAATGGTCACCATCAAAAGTGGAGCTGTGTACAGAGAGCGCCAAAGGCAGTATCTCTGCAGGAAGATCAAAACCTTTTCCATCAACAGCAACAGCCGGGAAAGGAGAATCATGTGCCTCTGAACAGAGAGGCTCAACAGACAAATAATTTCCAGAAACTTAGATTCACTTGAGTTGATGGCAAAAATATGCATCTAAGATTATCAGCCATTTAAAAGATCAAAACTTCAAATTTCAGTCAATACAGTAGATGCAAAAGTTTCCATAAAGCAAACCAGAAGCCTTCAAAACAAATTCAATAGTTTAAAATACACTAGTTGAATTACATCATTGCTCATCACTTACTAAAATGTGTTAAGAAGACTAGACCATAAGCACAGCAACTCTGTACTTTAGAAATGACACTCTTACATTTCCTTGTCACAACAGCTTGCTTCAGTCACATAAATACACCCACCAGCACACACCTCACACTTCCACACTACCATGAGCAAAGCAGCTTTGGCATTACCTTTTGTTTTTTCCCCAAAGTACTACCTGCCTCGTGTCTGCATGCCAAAATCTGCCAGCTGAATACTAATAACAACACCTTAGCTGAGATCACAGGTAATACTTATAAAACAAGGTCTACATACCTACACATACATATTTGGAATTAATAAGCAGAAATGTCAAGGCAAAAGGACAGGGAGAATATAGTGTCCAGTAGATGCCAATTTAAACTCTAAGATTGAATGGAAATTACAGCTTTTAACTGGTAAACTGCAAAAAGAAGTGGAAAGTGAAGGAGATGTACACATCTGAAAGCCTCCCTTCATGGGTACATATTGTAGTGATAGGAAAATATTTTTTTATTTCATGTTTCTGTAGATCATCCAGGGTCTTCCTGGGGACTATATAAATAAGCTTATTCCAATAACTTGGCAATTAAGTCACAAATCCAACTGGTCAACTAGACAGAGAGTCAAAGATAAGATGGGCAGTTTCAGAAATATAAGTCATAAGAAGAAGTCAAATAAGAGTTCAAAAGTGTTTCTTGTCTTTTACTTCACACGCTAAAAAGCACACCTCATATTCCAGCTCACAGGCAACAAAGTACTGCAGCAGGGAGAATACCACCTATCAACGGAGACGTTTACTTTCCATTGCCGCGACCTTGCATTGAACAAACACAAACAATTACCATGATTTTATACTGTAGAACAGCTGCTAAAGTTACAGCGATTGTTTTTTCAATTAAGACAATCCTGATGACAGTCATTATGAATGAATATAAGGCACTGACAAATCTTAAAAAAAAAAAAAGGCGATGATTTACCAAGAAGCTAACATTATGTCCTAAAGTCTAACAAGGACAAACAACTAGCTTGGGATGGGCATATGCTGGGGAAGTGTGTCAGGCTATTAGTATTAAAAAATATCACTTTTTCTTAGGAAAAGTAATTAACTGTCTATGAAGCTATGCACAAAGTTGTATACCTGAGACAGTGGCAGCTGTGGACACAAATAAATAATGGAACTGGGCTGGGTTTCTTTAAATCACTTTGATTAATGTCACATTTTAATGATGTTTGTGTGAATTAGGCAGCTATCTCACAGGTTGGCCACTGCAAAAAGAGCAGGAAAGGCAAAACACCCATCCAAAGCACAGCTGCTTCAGAGAATTGGCCTGGAGCTGCCACAGCAGAGGCTCAGGCCAGGCTTCAGCATGTAATGTTCATGCTTGGGGTGTGAGGTTATTCCCCTGCTATTCCCTCAGTGCTCATTTTCCCCCTCGTCAGGAAGGAAGCAAAGAATGAAATGTGTCTTGATAATAGCACTAGGGATGTTACCAGTTAGATGAAGCAAGGTACTGACTGGGGACTGATGGTGATACGGTGGCTTGGCACAAAAAAGGGGAAAAAAGCAGTAAGAAGGAAGGTTCCTTCCTGGCTTCTTATCCCCTGCAGGTCTTCAGTTACAGGATGGCAAATACATGGCTGTATCCCAGAAACTAACTTTCCTCCCAGCCACAAGCAGTGGCAAAAGCTTTATACCAATTAAAAAAAAAAAATAGGAAAAAAAAAAGGAATTTGAACAGGGAGGTGATCTAAGTGATGGCATGCAGTTGGTGTCCCCAGATGAGCCTGCAACACAGCAGAAGGAGTCTCAAGTATCTCTGACATCCAAACAAGTTCCCAGAACTTCCCAGGACATTCTGCAACATGTTTAGCGATCTACTCTTTAAATTACACCATCGCTAAATTTATAACTACTGAGTGCAGTCCAAACCCAAACAAAATTAATGGAAGGACCTCCACTGATCTAAATGGTTCCTATCAGCCCACTGGCACATACATCTTGCTTGATTTTTAACAAAGAAAGTGAAGAATTACCATTTCTTTAAAAAAAGAAAATTATTTTTGTAGATAAATTTACAAAAGAAATGCAGATACTCTAGAGCAGCATCAAGTGCAAGCAGGTGGTACAGTATCTTCTTCCAAAGTCCTCTGCCAGAAACTCTTGAACTCTGTACATTTTGTAACAGTTCTCAGACAAACTGAGCCAAGACTCACACACATTTCGTATGGATAAACAGGAAAGGAAATACAACTGAACATGTTCTCTTGGGTGCAGCATACAGTTTAAAGTGAAACCTACAGAGATCTAGGGCATTTTGTTATCGCCTATTAAAACAGGATCCCAAATGCCAATATGAAAGAATAATGCCTCATGTGGATGCATGCTTCATTGCCTTTAGTACTTTAGTATCTCCACAAATGCTTTGAACAATTCAAAGTTAGCTCCTATCAAACTCTCTAAAGTCTGTTAAAGTGGAATGAACCTTCCATATAATTTAATTCTTGCTTCTGGCCATG